GGGCCTGTTCTGTCCCCAGCAGCCTGTGTGTGAGTGAGGCCCACCTGGGACCCGCCACATGGACAGTGTGGGTGAGCTGTGCACACGCGTCCTGTCGTTGTGTCACAGGACGCAGAGGCCAGACACAAAGGGCACTTCCAGAAGGCTGACAGCACCCAACAGCCGGGCTTGGGGGGCAGCAGCATGAGCACGCGTCCTAGAGGGCCAGGTGGGTGGTACCTGGTAGGCTCTGGGCCACACGGCTTCTGCCGCAGCTACTCGACCCCCATCCCAGTGTAAATGAGCTCACCTGGCTGAGTTCCAGTGAAACTTCATTTGCAAAAACAGGTGGTCCTGGGACTTGGCGCTTGGGCTGTGGTTTGCCCGGTTGGTGACAGGCAGATTACTATTATCTGTCAGGGCTCACTGGATTCAGCCTCGGGAAGGCTTAGATAAGCTGGTTGCTGGAAATGTCCTATACCTTCATTTGGACTGTGGGTACGTGGGTTAATTATAGAATGAAAAACCGCGGGTGCTTCTTGGAAGCTGGCCGTGAGCCCTGTGTGTGCTGAGGGTTTCTCCTGTGGGGCTCCCTGCAGGAAGGCTAGGGGTGGGGGGTACCGGTCAGCATCCATAGGTCTGTTCTTTAGGGCAGAGTCCCAGACAGGAGCCTGCCAGTGTCCTGCCGTGGTGGGACTGCTTGGGGTTGGACAGGTTGTCTGGAGGTACCCAGCCCAGACGTGATGCGGAGTTCAGCCCCTGGCTGTGCTGGACGTCCTGGTGCTCAGACCCGCTTGCTTTCCCATCTGCAGGAGACCACCAGGCCCAGCTGCTGGTCGGGGAGGGGACGGGCTGGCGCAGGGTCGGTTCTCACCAACAAGGCTCTTAGCCCTGAGGAAAACGGGTTGGCCTTCCGTACACAGTCCTTTTGGCCTCATTAACTGCCTCTGTCCCTCACTTCTCATCAGCTTCCCAATGTTGTTATACGTCTCGCCCGCTATTAGCTTTTGGCTTCATCCTTGGAGCTCTGGACCTTTGTAATAGAGCAGAGATGATACATTTACCATCAAACTACCATTGTTAGTGGGGGGTAGGCTTTATTATTACTTTTTCCGATTGAAGTAACAGTCTATTCTTTTGACACTGAGGCAGTTTTGATTCTTTTGTTTCCCAGTTTTATTGAGAAATAACTGACGTCCTACACTGTATAAGTTCAAGGTGTATGGCATGATTTTAGGTCTGTTTAGGATGATTACCACAGGAGGTCTAGTTAACATACGTCGTCTCGTACAGACACAAAAAGACAAGAAAAAACTCCTTGAGATGAGAACCCTTAGGCTGTACTCTCAACGCCTTTCCTGTGTCACCAGCTGTGTCACCACGTGGCACAGGACAGCCTTAAGCTGACAGCTAGAAGCTGGCCTCTGACCACCTTCCTCCAGCCCTTCATTTGAATTTGTACAACTTTGTTACAAAATATTTCAGATCTAGCAGAAAGCAAGACATGGTCAGCAGACAGGCTGGCCGTCGCCCAGCTGTGAGCGGCCACCCCGGTGAGCTGTAAGTCAGCACAGCTCCCCCCACCCTCTGTCGTCACCTCTCTTGTCCCCAGAGGCAGCTGCTGCTCCGAATTTTCTCGAGCTTTCTACAACATGTGGTACGATTTTCACAACTGACTGTAAATGGCGTCACGCTGTCCCCAGTTCTTCTGCANCCCTTGGTGGGTGTCCTCTAGTCTAGCCCTAAGTTCTTGTGCATGACAAGGGTGTGACAAGCTCTAAACAAACATTTTCGGGGTGTCCACAATGCTGGCCTTGCCCCCATCAGGTGGGCACAGATGTGCTTTGAGCTGATGTGGGGCCTGCGGTGGAGGCGTGGACAGGCTCTGGTGTCGTGCTCTGTTCCTAGGACCTGGCCAGGGTTGAGAGGGCCCTACCTCCCCTGAGCAGGGCCAACCCCCTTGGAAGGCTGGCACATAGCTGGGAGGCACCCTTACCTCCAGCCTTGGTGGGACAGGGAACACGGACGTGCAGTTGGGTCTGTGAGGGGCGCCAGCTCTATGTAGGTAAACTAGGGAGTGGCAGAGCTCTACACCCCTCCCCTCGACCGGCTGGGTTTAAGCAGACACAGCTTTGGCTCAGGCTGCTGGAGGCCAGCCCTGCTCTCGCTTGACTTTGGGTTGAATGTCACTGGCACCGTGACTGTGCCTGCAGCCTGCTGCAGTCACCTCATCCTCAGGTCCCAGGCGGGAGAGGAAAACGGGTGACATTTGAGAGACAGGAGCTGTTGAATCAAGTGACCATTTGGGAGGACATCATTTTGCCTCACCAGATATTGGTGCTTGTCATTTTTTTTAAATTGTTGAATTGGGGGAGGGGACCAGCCAAGTTGTTCTTCAGTCTTCATTGTGGAGGGTGCCAATCGCCATCTGGCTGTCCATCCACAGATTGTGGCCTCGAAGCTTAAGGTGCTGTGTTTAGTCTTAGTTGTGGGTGGGCGTAGCCCACCTTCGAACAGGCAATCTTGTTGTTACACCAGCTGAGCCATCCTGCCACCTGTTAGCAGCTCAGCGACAGCTCAGCTCGGGCGCAGTGTCATTGGTCCATGTGGGAATCGAACCGGTGGCCCTGTTGCTCAGAGATTGCACTCTTAAGCCAACTCTTAACCAACTGAACCACTCAGCCGGGCCCGTGCTTATCATTTTTTTTAAAATATATTTTAAGTTACTTTATTTTTGTATTTTTTTTTAATTTTTATTGTGAGATACACATTTTTTAGAATTAGTTTCAGCTGTACAACACAGTGCAATAGTTATACTTTTTACCCCTCGAGGTGACAACCCCTCCTCCCCCAATCCGCCGCCCCATTTCCCCCCAATATCATACATATCTATTACAATTCCCTTGACTCCACTCCCACACTATACTCCACATCCCATGACCATATATGTATGTATATATATATATA